GCGATCGGACATTGTTTTCAATAGTCGAGGCCATCTCCCTCGAATGCGTGCTTTTCAACATATTTGAATTGCCTTTGAAATTACGACGCCACCTTCAAACGATCTTAATTTTAATCAAATAAAATGTAATTTTAATGCGACGACGTTCTGGACGCATGACGTAGTCCGTTTCATGATGGACGTCATGTCTCTCCGAAGGCAAATTTCATTGAGATGCGTGCCTTCACATCACATTTGGATTCGCATTGAATCTGTGACATCACTCAAACATCTAATTTATTAAATAAATGTATATCCTGAATTCGACGACTCTCGATGCAATGTTTGTCCGTTTATCGATCGGATTTTCCGAGCGTCTTCGAGGCCCATTTTTCTTATATGCGCATCTTTGCATTATATTGGGATTGTGCTAACAAATCTAGATACTCAAATGGATAAACAAAATGTAATTTCAATAGGTTGGCAACATTCCGGATGCAACGATGAAGTCTATTTGTCGATCGGGATCATTTTATCAGTCTTGCACTTTAATTTCGGGTGTCGTCGTGCCCTTGTTGACCAATCTCGTTCGATTCAATTCGAGGGCCTCGAACCAGCAGAGTTCAGTGTCCTGATCACAACGATACCATCATTCGGTATTTTGGAGGTTATTTGATCCCTTAAGTGATGCAGTTTTGTCAAAGCACACATTCGCCTAAATCGTCTTTTCCGTTCTTTTCGCATGGTTTATGTGTAGGGTCAACACTTCCATTATACAACATTAAATGTGGCTGCACCAAAATGAAAGAGAAGGATAACTGCAAGCCAAGCTTGTGATGTGCTCTGCTGTAGAAAACAGTCAATCACTGCTCCAAAAAAGTTGGTTATCCCAAAGAGATTCAAAGATGATTATCCACAGATCATGAATCCAGGAATTATATATGCAGTGGGGAAAGATTAATATTTGATAATCCACAAATCAAAATTTGCAATATTGAAGGATTTTTGACAAAGCAAGAAAAAAAGTTGAAATAGATTGCTACAGTCAGCATAAATGTGCCATTATACAAATATGCAAATTAGTTAGCAGACACTATAGAAAAAATATTTACAACCTAATCAGAACATTTAGAAAAATTACAAATCTATAGTATCTATGAACAAAACACCATCATCCATTCTGGCGCACTAAATTCATGCATAATTTTGTAAGTGTATGCACTTATAAATGAGAATTAAATAATGTCCTAATCAACTAAAAACAAAATTTATTTATAGCAACAAAGCACATTTCAAGACCATTCTCAACTTTTTTAGGAAATAATTGGAACATGAAAAATGATGTTGAAAATTTGTAAGTTGAACTATTTTTAAATAAATAACAAGTTAAATTCTTACCAACTTATTAGCAAGATGCTGTAAGTCAATTCTTGGAATTAGCTTCACTTGTCACCTTTGTCGACATCGTCTACATCAACAACCTGTAGATGTAAATCTAGGATGTTAGAAAAATGTTCCATGGTTAGATCAAACTATAATGGGCACTAAACACATGCATACTTGGCAAGTCTCCTTTATAAATTCCAAGTTTCATCCTAACCCATGTGTCCCTGGAAATCTTTCAATAGTTTTGCTTTTAACAGAAAGAACATCCGTCATTTCTTGATAGGAACTAGCATGACTGACTGAACTATATATCGTGCGCAAACCCTTACAAGCCTGATCATAAAAAACCGTCATTTCACATAATCTTTGAACAGATTCTTATGACGAAAAGACCTAAACACAAACCACACAATAGTTTTTATATGAATGGAGTTATACAAACCTCCTTCACATGGGCTTCTTTATTCGGCTTCAACATATATATGTAATTTTTAAGATAGTCCAATGCAACCACTGATCTTAATCTGCAGGGCCAGGCCTGTCTATTAAACTTTTGCATGAGGCACATTGCAGTCTCACGCTCACGACCAATCTGGCATTTATACAAGACAAGTGTTGAGGAACATGAAAAATACAATAAAATAGGTAGAAAATCTATTGCAAAAAAAAAAAAAACATTATAGATGGATGAAAAACCTACAGCACATTTCACCAGCCACAACTTGGGGTCTTTTACCGACGGCAGTAGAGCTTGTTGTTCAACCTCAGTGGCATCCTCACCATATTCAATGTGGCTTGACTTTGCGTATCTTTCATAACTTGCCTCTCCATCTCTTCAACATCCTCTTGATCCTCCGGCATCATATTCAATGGACGATGTGCTCTTCTACCACCACTCTCATCAGGCAAGTCAGTTCCAGCATCATTAATAAAATCTGCAATTGTTTACATAACATGATAATTATGCTCTTTGAATGGTCAAGTTTAGTAGCAGAAGGATGCGACTAAACTAAGAGCACACAATTTTATTTGTGGTTGCAAAATCTACTTTCCAAGTACATACAGACACTCACTAAAAATATGTAGTAATTTAAGTTTAAACAGCACATGAAGAAGAGATCAACAAAAGAAACATTACCGTCTTTCGGCTCCTCATCTTCCTCTTCCTCACTCGTCACTATGACCTGGCCTCAGGTGAAGAACTCAGACCCCTCTTCCGATTATTTCTGGCCGTCGGCCACCGTATAGCTCCTCATCTCTCGTCTTCTTCATCTTTGTATTCCTTGTCATGAATCGGTCCTCTATGGCTGCATCGTCAATGAAATCGGACCGAACCGCTTCCTCCCACCTGTCCTCTCCTCGTAGTCTGTTTTCTCTTCTTCCTCTACTCTTCATCATCCTCCTCTCTATAATCGTCTTCTCGGTGACGAGACATCCCTTACTTCCTCGCTTTAAGATTTGACGTGATTTGCGAAATCCTGAGTGGTTGGATCAACAACAGCGAAGCCTTCCTTTCGAATTGCTGGGAAAGATTTATATAAATTTTGCTAGCAAAAATAAGCTTTAAGTTTGTTCAGCAAAACCTCCAAAGCGGGAGAGGCGGAGGGGGAAAGCGGGAGAGGCGGAGGGGTTTGAAACCGAAAGCTCCAAAGAGGGGTTGGTTGCAGCGCGAGTCGCTCCTCTCAGCATATTTATCCCGGTTCGAGCGAACAGAACAGACTGAAACGCAACGGTTTAGTTACTTATTTAGAGAATATAGATTTAAGACTTGTTTAGATTTTATTAAGAATATTTTTTTTATTATTTTTTAAATATATATATTTTTTAAAATAATTTTTAATATAAATTTTTTTAAAATAATCTATTTTTTTACTTACAAAAATTGATTTAAAAATCAATAAAAAAATTATCATAAAAGAAACCTTAGGATCATAAAAGAAACCTTATGTGATATATCCAAGAAAATCCACCTTGCATTAGGTTAATGAAAGATGCTTCAAAGAGAACTAATTGATCTATTTGAACTATAAGTGAGCTAGTGGATTCAATGAACAGCCAAATGCTCATTTATGTAAAGCTCTTTTATGCTTGTTTATTCATATATTTGTGTTCTTGTAAGTGTTTTATTTTGTGTCCCATTTAGAGTAAAGTTTAAGTAAGGCTCAGGATGTATAAGATATTTTTGTTTGTAGAGATCGTAGCCTATGTGTAAGCAACTCTATGATTAGTGAAAGAAAGGGTGTGGATATGATCTTTTGGTCCTTTCTAGGAACTTTTATTTGGTCAGGTGACCTGACGTAGTTCTACGTTCGAACGCTAGTAAAATAGCCTCACGTGTTCTCACTCTTTACGCGCGGCCCGACAACCCTACGTTCGAATGCATATAACAGTCATGCATGTAGTTAAAATCTAGCATGATGTATAGCCTCGGCTGAGGAATGTTGGAACAATTAAAAGTATTGAAATAAAATATTGGCATACTTAGACATAGGATGTTTGAATATTCTAGGTTTTATAGAGATTGAAAAACGTAAGGAATGCCAAAAATCTTTCTTTTCATCCTTACAAACTTGATAGCGATCTAGAGATTTATATGCTATGAGCCACATTTATATTTTAAAATCTCATTAGGAAAGCTATTTTTATACATTTATTAGTCTAAAACACTTTGTTTTTATTAGTATCAAACTCTTTTGTAAGTTTTTTTTTAGTGATGAAAACTCAAAAATATATATTTTTTTTATCTTCAGTAGGATAAGTCATGCATTTGAAATAACATTAGTAGTTAAGTTGTAATTAAGTATAACACTTTCTCGTGTATTTCATCACTTTATTACTTGATTTGTTAAGTATATTTGTATAATTAGCAGGCTTTCATTAATTTCATATCAAAATAAACCAAAGCATATTTCAAAACTTTATTAATCACATTTTAGCACATACTAACTAGCATCTACTATCATATATAGTCCCCCATCAAGTTTTTGGTATTGTTGCTGGGAAAGTAATGTGTGTATTGCAATTTTGACTATATTGTTGAAATAAGTGCATAACTAAACTTACTTGTATCATGTATCTTTGTTCTGTTTAATAAAAAATTTGAAAATCCAAAAAGTGTTATGTTTGATTGTTTTGTTGTAATTTTTAGTGTTGTAATTTTATTTTATCCTTGGTAGGGCTAGTAAGGAGTTATTGTTGTTTGATCCATAAATAGAAAGGACCCTTTTAAAATTTAAAAAAAAAAAAATATTTGACCCAGTACAAAATTAGGACCATTTTAGACTACTTATGGAGTATATGTTAACCCTACAGTATAAAGAATCCATAAGAGTATCAATAGACTTATTATCCAAACTAATAATTTTGAACTGAAACCTATAGTAAGATTCAAAATTTTCAATTTGGGAAAACTTATGTTGAAGATCCTAATTTTACTTAGCGAATTTCTGGAAAATCTATGCAACATTTAAGTATAATAATATCAATGATGATACAAGTAGACTTAGATTGTTCCTATTTTCTCCAAGTGATAAGTCAAAGATGTGATTAAATTCTATGCCCTCGACTTTAAAAGCACTTGGAATGAATTGACATATAAATTTCTAGCTATGTATTCCTCACATTTAAAAATTGCTAAACTTAGAAATGACATCACTTTGTTTGTCCGGTTCAAAGGAGAATCAATTTATAAAAGATGGGAGAGATTTATGAAATTACTTATAAAAGGCCCTCACTATGTCTTACCTGATTGGTTTGTTATTCAACCTTTTTATAATGGATTAGGAGGATCTCTTAGGTTAGTCATAGATATTGCAGCTAGAGGATCTTTGATGTTTAAATCATTTGAGAAAACATATGAATTAATAGAGAAAATAACTACATATAATTTTTGTGTCTTACTGATTGGGTGAATCCTAAAAGAGTAGCTAGAGTCTATAAATCTGATGCTCTATCAATTCTTACTACTCAGATAGCTATTGTTTAAAAAAAAAAAGATCTTATGATATTAAAGTTATACCACATAGGTATAATAATTACATTAATTCTATTAGAGATCCTAAACGTACGAATGCCGCAGTGCCGTATCGTGCAGCGCCATAGCATTACTCCTTTGGTTTTAAACAAAATAATCATTTGGGGAATGGAAAGTACCATTGGAAGATGTTGTTATGTAATTAGGAATTAATCTACAAAATCAATATGTTACCCTAAAAAATAGAAGATCATGGAGGGTATCTTGCAAGGTTGATTAATAATAAAAAAAATGGAAGAATGATGTAATAATATCTAGCTTAAAAGTGGGTCATATTAGGTGACCCATATAAGGACAAAGATCTACCTCAAAAGGATAATGGTAAAAGAGAACCTTTAAAATTGAACCCTCTATTAGCAGTATGAACCTATTAAAGAATCTTAAAAAATCAATTAGGAAGGTTATAGAGAGACCACCACTACCCTTTCCTCGAAGGTTGATCTAATAAAATTTGAATAAGCAATTCTCTAAGTTTTTAATGGTGTAAAAAAATTAGCTATCAACATACCCTTCTCTGAAGCCTTAGAGAAAATGTACGCCTATACTAGGTTTATGAAAGATATTTTGAATAACAAAAAGAAGGTAGGAGAATTTGAAATAGTAACATTAATTGAAAAGTATAGTGCTATAATTCAAAGGAAATTTTCTGAGAAATGAAAAAATCTTGATAGTTTCACCATTCATTTTATAATAGGTGATGAATTATGTGGGAGAACTTTGTGTGGCCTTGGATCAAGTATCAATTTCAGGCCCCTTTCGATCTTCAAAAGATTAAACATAAGAGAGAAGTTCAACCTACTTCTATCACATTTCAACTAGTTGATAGATCTTTCACTTATCCTAGAGGGGAAATATAAGATGTTTTAATTAAGGTATTGTGCTTAAGATGGAAGAAGATAGAGAAATACCTCTCATTTTTGGAAGATCTTTCTTAGCCATTAAGAAGGCCATAATTGATGTGCATAAAGGGGAATTAGCTATGAAGATTAAAGATCAACATGTGACCATTGATATTCTTAAATCTTTAAAACTTCCACATGAAAAGAATAGAGATTGCTTTAGAATTGATTTGGAAGAGACTATAGAAGAGAGCTAAAAAAAAAAGAGTTGTTAGGAAGGAATTTATTGGAAGATGATGTTGAGGAGAATTGTAAGGATGCAGGAGAATCCATTAAATCTATTGAAAATAATACTTGAGTGTTTAAGTAGAAGTTTGAAAGTTTGTAGAATCCATATTTAGTCAACACTTAAAGACCCTCTATAGAAAAATCTCTTGACTTAGAGCTTAAGAGTTTGCCCAGCCATCTTAAGTATACTTTCCTTGGTAACAATTTAATTTTATTTGTAATCTTCTATGTAAATTTGGAAAATATTAGGAAAGTATTAGAAAGATTTGTAAAAAAAAAATCTTTGTTCTAAATTAAGAGAAATGTCAATTTACGGTGACCAAATGAATTGTCTTAGGGCATAAAAATTTTAAATAAGGACTAGAGGTAGACATTGCAAAAAATACAGGTTATTAAGAAACTACCCTTTCCACTTCTGTAAAAAAAATTAAAAGATTTCCTAGGCATGTAAGTTTTTATAGAAGATTTATAAATGACATTTTCTAAAATTTCAAAACATTTAGTCATTTATCAAAGAAGAATATTCCTTTTATTTTTTAATGTTGTGGTTATTGTGCGAAGAGATGCTTTGTTTGGGCATATCACACGAGATGGGGCCGACTTGGAGGTATGTTCGTGGATTTTGCATCTATTTGAAAATTTTCTATTCTTTTCTCTTGACTTTCTTACTCAATAAGACTATAAAATTCAAAGACAAAGACTCTCTTTGGTGTAGTTATTGTAATAAGTCAAGACATACAAATGAAATGTGCTAGAATCCCCCAGTAAAGAGTGGAATCAAAGAAATGAAATAAAAAGCACATCACATGCCAATAGTACAACAAGTTAGCCCAACCTAGAAGCACAACCCAGCTTAAGAGAAATCAATAAAGAAGATATTGTCAAACAAAAATAACTCTTGGTATCTCTTAAAAAAAACTAATTGTGTCCTGCTCTCTTAAACTTTCGGGCAAGTTTCTTACTTTCATTAGTTTAAGTGCCTCTGAAAATCATTTAAAAGGATTATGGATCATTGACTCAGGAGCCACATATCACATGACACATTCTCCTAACCAGTTCATCAACTATACTCTTTTCCCAAGTGACAAGAAAATCATCACCATTAAAGGTTCTCTTACCACAGTAGCAGGCCAATGAGACATATCTTTATCTCCCTCCCTCCCTCAAAAAAATAAGCTCCACATACCTCAATTATTCACAAACTTAATATATATACAGAAACTTATCAGTGATCATTATTGTCAAGATCTATTTAACCCTTATTATTGTGTATTTCAACATTTGAGATTAGGGAAGAAGATTAGACTTGCTAAGGAGAGAGATGGATTATACTACTTAGAAGAACAAATAAATCTGAAAATAGTTTCTCTATGTTATCTCTAGTTTATAGAAAATACACTATCTTGCTTCATCATTGTAGATTAGGACATCTATCTTTTGATATCCTAAAGCATGTATATCTAAAACTTTATCACATATTAGAAAATGAAATTTTCATTGCGAAACTTTTGAGTTAGCCGAACATAAAAGATCATCTTTCCCAAATAAAAATGAAAGATGTGATATTTCTTTCTATTTTATTCATAGTGATATACGGGGACCTTAAAAAATCCCTAACATCTCTAGGGCACACTAGTTTGCATCGTTCATTGATGATTGTACTCGAGTCTCTTGGATCTATCTCCTCAAAAGTAAGTCGAAATTTAGCACCATACTTCACATTTTTCACAACATGATCTAAAACCAATTTGGAGCAAAAATAAGAAAATTTATGCATAAATCTCTAATATTTGAATTTACAAAAATTTGGGCCTTGATTTGACCTAAATTATTGTAAATTTAAATGCAAATCAAATCAAACTAAATCTATTGCATATTAGAGTTCTATGGAGATGGTGTAAGGTCAGCCTTTCACTAAAAATAAGTTTAGACCTATGATCATGTATAGCTTAACTAAAATTTATTTCCAAAGGCATGTTAACTTAACTCAAAATATCAACAAACTATATATGATCATACTATGGAATTGGATTAACTTCAATTAGGATATGTTTACATATATCTCTAAATAAACTTAATCCAATTTCACATATCTATTCTTTTTTTTTTTTATGATAAATCGTTTAAGTTCATAGGTTATCATATAACCTATGATTACAATGATTTATTATAAAATCCTTCCATAGAATATTAGGTGCACCTTTTATTGTTCATTGTTTGTGTTTGTTGTGATTGTAATTTAGTGTTAAAGGGTTAGAAACATTGATTTGCTATCCTACAACCTAGTGACACTAAGGACAATAATTAAGGACTTGGTCTTAGTCAATTTAGATCAATCTAGGAAGAACTACACACATCTCTTTTGGGATGAAATTTAAACTTAAAAAACTAGTGTCATATACTTGATAATCAAATATACTTTGATTTGACATTAATTAACCTTATAACAACTAGTAGATTAAGGATTTTTGTTCTTTTGTTTCAATAAATTATAAATAAATCAAATAAAACTCATAAAAATCTATAATCAATCCTAATCAACTCTAATCAATCATAAAACAAACTTGCAATCTTTCAAAATCAAATAAAGGCTTAAATTTCATTAAACCTAAATCAACCCTTAATTAACTCTTAAAACTTCTAAAAAAATTCCAATAAATCAAATTTAAATCCAAAAAATATGCATAAGACCTCTAACGAACCAGACTTGAATCATTAACCAATGAAAATTGAAACCAACTCAATTTGATAGAAAATTAAACCTTAATTTAATTTTAAGTAAAATTTAATATTTAATTCATTTAATTAATTAATAATTATCAATAAATTCCCAAACACTTGGAAATCTCTCCTTAGGTCATTCCTGACCTTTGGAGCTGATTTCAAGGAGTTGGGACCTCATTTGGAGCAAAATTACAAAAAGACCTTTTAATTAAGGATATTTAAAAAATTCCATTAAATAGTCAAAACTTTAAAAACTTATAACTAATTCAAGAAAAATCCAAATTGACCAAACTCAATTACATTCAACTCATAATAATGTCTAATATTTATTAAAAATATTTAAATTCCAGAATTTTGTCAAACTTAAAAAGTCAACAAACCGGTCAACTTTAAGTCAAAATCAGTTCAAAACTTCAAACATTCGTAATAAAATCCAGAAAAATATGATTTCAGTGTACTTACTGTCTAACTGATCATATTAAGGTTTAGTATTTTAATAAAATATTATTCTTCCAGAAAACACTCTTATTTTAAAAGTCAATTTTTAACCCCTTAAATAAATGATTAAAATATTCCAAAAATTCTGAAAACTCAAAATCACTCTAAAACTCCAAAAATATTTAATTAACTTTAAAAGCCAGAAATCAATCAATTTTGATTAAAATTCATTAACTTTTAAACATTAACCAACTTAAGCTACTTAATCATACTGGGTACTACTCGTTAACCCAAGCCTACGAGGCTATTAGCTTAGCCCCAAGGAAGGTGAAATAAACTTCACGGCCTCGATGAAAAACAAAGGTGGTGTCCAATAAATAATTAAAATTTATTTTAAAATTAATCTTAAGTCATTAATAC